ACCGTTCCAGGATGAATCTGTTTGTTTTCCTAGCAGTCCATGGTACCCTCAATACTCTTCTCCAGCACCACAGCTCAAAGGCATCAATTCTCCTTCTACCTTCCTTATTCATTGTCCAACTCTCTGATGCATAACAAGTGATTGCAAAGACTATGGCCTGTATCAGACGCACCTTAGTCTCCAGAGAGACACCATTGTTCTCTACTTCCCCCAAAATTAGTCATTGACAACCCAAAGGGGAGCAGTTTCATTTAGATACACATGAGTTCTCCATGAGTCACAATCGTCTGTGGTGGCTGTTATAAGCATAAATGCATGTAGCACAACGTAGCCATTTCCATATCTTTACATTATAATTCATTGATAGACACTTTGTTTGCCTTTCGGCGTAACCACCACTGTTCTCTCTGGCCACATTTTCCCATCACTCTTGACAGAAACCCTGCACCCCTGAACCTAAAACTTCTTCTTCCCCCTCTTTCATTTCTGACATTATACACTATTGAAGAAACTCTGGTAGTGTTGTTGTTAGGCCATTTCACTGCTAACCTCAACATCACTGGTTCAAATCTACCGGCTGCTTTTCGAGAGAAAGATGTAGTACTCTGTTTTGACAAATGTTTACAGCCTCTGAAATAATGAGGCACTTATGCCCAGCCTGAGAGGTCACTCTGAGTTAGAATTGACTAATGACAGTGCATTTGGCTATAAACTGTCAATTTCGAACTGACTTATTCACTTAATGTAGTATTTCTAAGGTCCATCCGCTTTGCAGGAGAAGCTTGTAGGTATGTTCTCTGCGTTGTCTGATTTTCTAAGTCTGAAGTTGTGTGACTCAGGTTTGCACAGTGTGATTGGTGGCTGCCCTGGGTGGCACGCCCAGGGTGGTAGCACCTGGTCCCTTTCTCTTCGTAGAGTGCCACATCACCTCCTTATTTTAAAAAGCTTCATTGTTTATCGAGCTCCCAGTACAAAAAGGTTAAAGTCCACCCATTCAGGTGTCATTCCATCATCTGTATAATCTGAGAGTTGAATTCCAGAGTGTCCAGCCCCCTTTCAGAACTTGCTTAGTTGAGATGTAACTTCGCTGACAGTGAAGCACTTAGGCTCCAAGAGAGAAGCACAATGTGCAAGCCCGCCCCCTTAGCCAATTTTCCCTAACAATTAACGCTGCACTGACTTGACACCCTCTTTTCCTTGTTTGGCTTTGTAAACCCTAGTCCCTTTTTCTATTAATTCCAGACATTAATATTTTCTTTCATGCAACAGCCGCCATTCACCCGTGAAACAGTTTGAACATTATATAGCTGTCAAGATGCCTGGGGATTACCCAGTATGCCTTGCCTGTGAGAAAGTGACACCGTGGAGGCCTGGTTCTGAGATGTTTATTTTGAGAGTACGCTGACAAGCATGAAGGCCGGATCCCAGAGTGGCAATTTCATTTAATTAAAGGCCTCTTTTTATTATAGTTTTCCTCCACTTCTTTATATATATCAGAAAGATTGTTAAAGTCTGACTTGCCAGAGGTATTCTCTTGTGGTGCAAACGGGGAAAGAGTGGAGGGGTGTCTTGCTCACTAGTGCAGATTCCACTGCCTGTCTGTAAATGGGTTTGCTTCTACTCCTTGTGTGTGCTTGTGTGTGTATATATATGTGTGTGTGTTTTTACACATTTGTTTCTACTCCCATGTCATCAAATTCAAAATGTGAGATCTGGGTTCATATTTGTACATTTATTTTTTCCTTTAGTTTATTTAATATCTTTAATATAAACATCCATATCATATGGAAGGCTAATTTATTAAAATTGTGCCTTTGTTGTTGCTGTGATGATTTTAAAATGAACATCCATATAGTGTAGAAGGCTAATGATTCAATTTGTGCTTTGTTTGTCCAATTAATGTGTTGAAATGTTGTATTTTGCCTCCTTAGTTTGTAATGATGTTACTATATTTTCAGAGAAAAGAGTTGCAATCCGTATTGTAAATCTTATTAAATTCCTTTTCAATACTTTCTGATCTTGAAACTAAAGAACTGTTTATTGAGATGTTTAAAAAAAAGATGTTTAAAAAAAAATCCAAGACCAAGGTAGTTAATGATATGTATTAGGATTTTGGTGGATGATAGCAAACAGATTTCATATAAAGTTGATGTAATTTAATTTTTGATCCAATATTGTTAGACTCTAATTTCGGTGGGGACTGGGAGGCTGGCAGCAAGGATCTGTGGTAGCATAAGAGTTGGAGTTGATTTGATGGCACCTAACAACAACAATACTGAGCTAATTTCAGTATCAGAAACTCAGTGCAGTAGAAACTGTGAGGGCCTGGGTTGAGTTCTGTCCAAAGCACTTGGGATGGATCAGTGACTGATACAGTTGCTTGGTCTTTGCACACTGATTCATAGCCCTGTGTTTCATTCATAATATTGTAATTGCCCACAATTTGCATTTCCGCTTTCTTTATAGAATTTTTTGAGGGGGTTTTGGTAGCTACTCACGGATTGTTCATTTATTTGTGTCTTCTTTTTTCATCCTTTATTTGACACTAGTGAGCGTGAATGTTCCACGTCACTCCTTGTGTGTCCCCAGTGTGTCGGGGGTAGTGTGTAGCACATACATACACACACATAGGCACATGGGTACATTTTTACACATGTGCTCGTGAGCTTGTTTTTCTCTTAGTTGATTTGAAGAGGGCAGAGGGGCAGTCCTTGGGCCTCTTTTTGGCTGCTGGCGTGGTAGCTGGGGGGGACATTATTCATTCCTTTTGGAGTCAGTTTCAAAGCACCCCAGGAGGAGTGGGCAGGTCAGCAGTGTCAGCTCTCTGGCCAGCTGAGGGCCTAGCTGCTCTGAAGTTCAGCTGGCCTGGGTGAGAACAATGTCCACGGCTTTAATGCAGGTGCAGAGTCAACAAAGAATGGCAGCCTTGTCAATTGAATGCCCCCTCCCCATTTGTCTGAGCCTTGGCCCCATCTTTTGAACCCATGGTTTCACAGATTGATTGATTTATTATTATTATATTTTAAAGTACAGAGTTCTGTTGAGTCAACCATCTGGCCAACTTCTTGAAAATGGCTCTGTTCTCTCTGCCATGACCCCCTGCTGCTCTGAGGAGGGGTGGTGGGCTTCATCTCGTGATGCTGACACCATTGCCTGGTGCCTGTGGATTTTGCTTCTAGAATTTTTGTGGGTGACATATCCACAATGAAATGGAACAACAGGAAAACTCAGGGAGTTCATTTATATTCCAGCACTGAAGGCTAAGACGAGTCTGTCATCTCTCTTAAACTGGTCCATTTTTCTCACCCCTGAACCTCTGGGGCCTGCCTTCCCTGCACATACCGACTTTGTTCTGGGTCTGCACGTGTGGAAAGACTTTGTATTTGATGGAAAATGATGCTTTCACATGTGTTTTCCAAATTCATCTTGCTTTCTTTTTCTTTTAAAGGCACAAGTGATCCCTATGTGAAATTTAAGCTGAATGGGAAGACACTGTACAAAAGTAAAGTCATATATAAGAACTTGAACCCAATTTGGGATGAGATAGTTGTGCTACCTATACAAAGCCTTGAGCAAAAGCTCCGTGTGAAGGTAACTACAGACCGCTACAGAGCCCTCTCTTGTATTAAAAAGATTTGGGGTGAAGGAAATGGGAAGGATCTTCTGTGAAAAACAATATATTAAACTTTGTAAATAAATCAGAATAAAACTTAAAAACAATTTTATTTTCACACTCTTTCATGCTTTTTTCAAAGCAGACTTAGAAAGAAAATATCAATTTCATTCTCAAGCCTTGAGTTAAAAATATTCATATGAAGGGACATCATTCTATCATTTGTCAAAATTGTATACTTTCCTCAGACCATGAATACAAGTTTTACAGCAAATTAAGAGTGCAAATTGTATCTCCATTGATTGTACTTAAACTTATTGAATGTGGAAGAGTTATTACTAGGAATGCAGCGGTGACAAGTACTAAACTCTTTCTCATTAGGAATAACTTTTTACTTAATAGCATTTTAAGCTACCAGTTGTAAGCATCAGTTGCTTTAACATCTGGGTTAAAACTGCATGAGTTGAGTGCAGGATGTGATTGCTATAGAATATTTAGCAAATTTCTATTTAATTGGCAGATCTGCTCACTGTGGAAAAGACAATTTTAATGAGAGACAGTTTCACTGACAAAAAGCAAGGTCCATTGTGCATAACATTATAATGCATGTGAATCCTGCCTGTGTGTATTTTCTGCTGTTGTTTTGGTCTAAGTCAGCAAAATGGTCAAATTTGAGCAATGTTTTAGTTTTTTTCACCCTTGACTTAAAGGGGCTAAATTCCCCTTTAACACTACTAAGCAAATGATTTTTAAATTAGTAAGAGTGGATTCAGATTTACTAGCCAATTTCATGTGCTAATAATTGCATAAACTTGGTTGGCTTGCTATAATCATGTGTTTTACTGCTTTACCCCCTACCTCCCACCCCGCCTTGTAGGTATATGATCGAGACTTAACCACCTCTGATTTCATGGGCTCTGCATATGTCACTCTCAGTGATCTTGAGCTTAACAGGTATTGTATTTTCACCTTCTAATTTTTATTAATGAACTCATACATGAATTCAGGACAGTTTTAAATGAGATTTGTTGAGAACAAATGGCAAGGAAAATCTGAATAAATGAGGTAGTGCTTGAAAGCACAAGTATAACATATTGTCTATGTTAACATTTTTTGCTTCCTATTTCATGAATGTGCTAGCAGGAGTAAAGCATTCCATATTACATTTTAAGTTGTATATTGGATTTTATGAATATTCAACCTCATTATCCTAACTAAAATTGTAGCAAGCATTTAAAATCTATTTATGGCATCAGGAGGGGGATGTGTTAACCAACTATTGAATTAGTCGGTGCCAGATAGCCTTTGCCTGGTAGCCCCTGTTTCAGTTACACATTTGGTGCTTTTTTTTTTTTTTTAAACACTGTATCTAATCCTTCTGAGATTTTAGCATACATCATAAATCTATAATACTATTTGTAAGTATTAACATATTTCATTGTTTTTGTATACAGAACAACTGAACATATTTTAAAATTGGAAGATCCAAACAGTTTAGAAGATGACATGGGAGTGATTGTGTTAAACTTAAATCTAGTAGTGAAACAGGGTGATTTCAAGAGACATGTAAGTTTGACATTTTTTTTTTAAACTTTTTAAAAAATAAACAAAACACACAAACCAAGCCAAAATGCAAAACCTGCTCATTGCTCTTATCCTTATCCTTTGATTACTGGGTTACTAGACCACTGACTTTATTGTAATGATTTCGTGAGAAAACAAGTAATTTTATAGATACTTAAATTACCTCTCTTTTAGAACTCTTAGGAGAAAATCCATTAAGGAATTATCTATATTTTGGCTAGCGACAAGGTTGGCGCTGTTGTTATTATTAAAACTAATATGCTGTTTATGGTTTGCTTATCATGGATTATCTAAAATATACTTTCACTAAGTGCTAAAGCTTTTCCCTATAATTTTGTTAAGTAGTTGATAACTTAGGCATTATTCAGTTATGAAAAGCTGTTTCTAGGATTTAACTATGGGGTTGCATTATTTAGGTGAGCAAGTGTATGTTTGCAGATTTTAATTTCTTCATCATTGTTTTTGTTTTTACTTTAAGCTACCAAGTTTTCTATGGAGTGAACTTCTGGGAAGACAGAAAACTTTATTTTTTCTGATCTACTTAATGAAAAACTTTTTTTCTTAATACGCTACCTATTGAAGATATTTACACCATCGTAAAACATTGCACTTTGTTATTGTGTGATTGAGCCTGCTTTTTTGAGCAAAGATTTGGACCTGAGCCATGATTTTATTTTGTAGTCTAGGTTTATACCTTATAATTATAAGAGTTAAAGAAAGAACAAGAAGCATCCTTGATTATAGCTTTATGAAAGGTATTTTAAAAGTCCACAAAAATGCCTGCTGGACAAAGGGATATATTAAAATTTTACATATTTAGAATTTTTCTATGAAAGTTAAAGTGCATTTATAAATTAGGTCTCAGATAATTATTCTTCACTCATGGCACTGGGCTTCGTGAAAATATTCCAGCTCAGTCTTGGGAAGTCACTTTTAGTTTTATTTTCAAAATGAAAATAAAAATTAATGAGGGTTTAGTGAAACATTGTAATTAATTGCATTAACCAATAGGACTTAATCTAAAATAAAAAAGAAAATCACGATTGCTTTGCAAGGTAACTCACAGATGCTAGCTTAAAAATATAGACACCATGCCCAATTTTTGTATCTTAAAAACTGAAAGTATACAATTGCATTAATTTTTTTTCTTAGAAATACAGTCTATCAGTTATTAAAGATAAACATCTCTCTGAAGGAATACAGAGTCCAAACCAAAACATATTATGGTTTCAGTCCACATGCATTCCTATTCGAATTGTTATTTTGGCAATTTTATAATTATTTATACTAATCTTTAAGAAGTCTTTTCTCCCAGATGTACTTGGGGAAAGGCATGATTAGTTTTTAGTTACTAGGTGGTCAGCTAAATAGTGGCAATGTTTAGTTTAATTATTCATTTTTGAGCGTTTATTTGATATTAACTGAAAATTTGGTTAATTTTCTTTTAAAAAGACACTGTTGAAGCCTGATATATTGAGAAATCTGTTAGTTTAATGTTAAAAATTGTCTTAAATAGAATTTGAAAATTAACTTTTTTTGGTCATAAAATAATGAAAAACAGATTTTCTTTAGCTCCTTCTTAGTGTTGACAATACCTCTTTGACTCTGCAGTCCCTATCAGCATGCACATTGGGTGACCGACTCTACAGTGGGTGATTGGTCCCAACGGCTAGGTTGTAATACCATGCATTATACATAGGATCATTTATAGTACGGTTTAGCAATTACCAACTGATGCACTCTAAAAATTACTTATTTAAATGAAGTATATAAAATTGGGTAATTTCCTCAGAAATACAGCTGCCTACTTATATGACTACTGTTGTGTGTTTTTCTATATGTATTCTCTTTAGCAGTGGTATTGACACAAAAATTATATTTCAATCTTGCCAAAATTTGCAGTTGCAAAACAATGACATTTTCATTGCCGTTTATTTTAAACTAGATACGGTTTTGGTTTTGGTAAATATCTAAAAGAGTATCTGTTTGAACTCAGCTCTAGCCACTGTGTCTGTCTTCTCTATTTCAACCATTCTTTCCTCTAATTCCTTCACTTTCACTCTTTTGAAAGAGTTTGTCAGGATTTTTGTCTATCAGTCATTCATGTGTTTTCTGACTTGCTTTGTTATTTGTTTAACATTGGTCTAGTGTATGTTGCGTGTATGTGTGTGTAAACACATACACGCACATACATACATACACATCTCATGGAGGTATTAAATGCAGTAAACCATGCCTCCTCTCATTTGTTTGGCTGGCAATTTTGTTGTTCTATTTTTTGCATTATCACAGTATAACTAAGCAAAGGAATACTTCATCCTGGAGCAGATGTGATTTTTCAGCTTGCAACTTGCAGTGCATAATGTGGTTCCTCTGAGGTTACAGTAGATATCAGGAGCTGTTTTCTCTTTTTGAGTTTACATTAACGCTTAAAGGTATTCTTTCTTATTCTGGGTTTTTAAGTAGGAGTGACTAATAATTCAAGATTGGAGAAAGATAGTTGATTTGATAGAGAGTAATTTGCTTTTAAATTTTCATTTTAATTTAAATTCTGATGGAAAGCTGTAAATTTTAGTTCTTGATTTTCTCCCCCCTAACCTGTTTCTCTATACATAGGTCTTAAGATACTTTCTTGCTTTAGACTTGAGCAGACAAAAAACTTTAAGAAGTACAGCTATATTTTCCCTCATGTTAAGGATTGTGATATCTGAATTAATGGTTACTTAGTAGTGCAAGAATTGGATGGAAGGCAGATAAACCTTCTGCCTATTTCTTTTTCTGTGGCAGAACCAGGCTCCGTTATAGACTGTCTAAGTTTAGGCTCAGTCATATTACTTTATGGCTTTGATAATGTGGTGAATGTGGACATACTCAGAGTACCATTTTCAGTGTTCTCAATTGTGAAATGGGAATACAGAGAGGATCTGTTTCACAGAGTTTGTACCGGTTGAGGTAAATCAAATCTTGTGCTTGGTGAGGTAGCTACTTTATCTGTATTAGCTCACAGCACTGTAATTATCAAGGGAGCTCTGGTGGCCGATGGGGAAGGAGTTGCACTCCCAGCCCAAAGGCAGGTAGGTAGGTACTAGCTGCTCTGCAGGATAATGAGGGGCAGGTTCCTCCCTTGCGATTTAAAGCCTCTAGAGCCAGTCAGCTGTGAAGCCACTGCATCTCCACAGTAGTGAGCTGAATGGTTGTTGTAGAGCTGAATAGCCACTTTACATTCATTTCCTTGTCGTCTTTGCATAGGCTTTAAAATTGTGAAGAAATGAAATGTTACGTCAAAGGACCTCAGGTGGCACTGTGTATCCATGTTGTTGTTGTTGTTATGTGCTGTCGAGTTGTTTTCGACTCATAGCAACCCTATGTAGAACACTAATTAATATTTGATAATTGGTTTTAGTGAAAATATTTGTTATTTTGTGGTTAAAAATAGGAGAAAAAAAAATACAATTTCAGTACCTGAGTTCTGGTACCTGTAACTTTATGTTGAAGAAGAAAATTTCAGTGTTTTAGTAAAGAATATTTTCATCTCATTTTTGCACCAGCATTTCTAGTTGCTGATCACTCAAATGCCAGTGCATTTCCCTGGAAGGCTATTTATTTTCTGTTTTATAATGTGTTCGGGAGACATTTTGGCAAACTGAATAGGTCATTTACCTAAAGGTATTTTTTTTTTACCTTCAGCATAATAGTAAATGTGGTTTGCTCAATTAGATTTATAATTGAGTCATACTCTCCAGAATTTATCCAAGTTTTAACAACTGGTTAGCTGATTAACCAGCCAGAATAAAGCTTTTTAGTATTAGGCAGTGACAGGAATAATGATGATTTTTCTGGGAGAGAATTTTAATTGTAGAGGAAATTCAACAGCCTTAACATGATAAATGTGAGATCAAAAGAGAACAGTGGTGAAACTTCTAGTTATTTGAGAGAGAAAAAAATATATATTTCCTTCTTTCACTCAGCACTGTATTAACCCCCTTTTCTAAATTTATACAGAAATGACTCAGCATTTTCTCTATTATATTGAAAGTTGAGACTTAATAGTAAAAGTAGCAGAATACTGTTTTTCCAGTTTTGTAAACTGGAAACCTAAACATGAATTAATACTGTCCATGAATTTATGAAACACTTTCTGAATATTTCAAGTAGAAGAAGCCTGCTGCCGTGTTATAGAGCATTGTTGTGTCGCAATGTATTTTAACAATGAGTGTGTGTCTAAGGATCAGCTAGTATTCGTATCTCCTTGACTTTAGATTATAAATGAGATGATTTAATACAGGCTCGTGAATTTGATTTTCCTGTGTTTCTAGCCTAATTTTTCTCTCAAATGTGCCTTGCCAGGCACCTTGGGTCTTAGTCATTTGAATGTAGTGTTCTCAGTCTCTTCAGATAATTACATTGTTAACGATTCTTTCTTTTTCTTTTCATGTTTCAATTTTCCATGGACACAACCCTTAGCGTTGGTCAAATCGGAAGCGGTTAAGTGCCAGCAAGGTAAATAGTCTTCCTCTTTCTTTAGAGAATTTGGTGAAAAATTTCATCTTTAGAGAATTTGGTGAAAAATTTAAATTTTGGTGTTCATTGTATAGCAAATACACAATAAACATGATTAATATTACCAACCTTTCAGCTTTAATTTTTTCCCTTTTACTGCTATTATACACAAGAGGGCATCAACTTAACTTTTAATATTTAATTTAACAAGGACAGAACCAGAGAGCTGACCTTACATTTTAATGGTGACATTTATGTGTACTAACCATGCTAGATTGCTACACATCTTTTTTTTAAATTTTTTTTGTACCCTTCTTTAACTTTGGAATATTTAGATAGTGCTCCTATTAGATTTAGCCTTGAGGAAGTTATGTAACACTAGATGAAAATACCCTTTAGTTTTATAGAGATAATTAAAAGATTGAGAAACACTTGCATGAACTTTTAAATGTATCTTATCTAGTTTGAAAAATCCAGTTGTTATTTTGAAAGGTAGTTTCCTAACAGATTCATTCATTAATTCCTTATAACATTTTATACTATTGCCACCTTTCTAGGCCATTATACATCAGTGCTCAATTTGCAAAATGTATAGGTGCACCGAGGTAGGGATATGTTTTTATTTCATCATTACAATCAATCCTCAAGTTTTAATTGCAGTGATTAAATGTCAAAATTATTGCAACAGTAAATCCAAAGAGTGTTTATAACTCGAGTCAGCAGAAATGATTTGGCGTCCCCATCAGTCAAAACGCGTCTGATAGCCTCTGGTTTTCATGATTTTTAAAAGAAAAAATTGCAAATGAGAAATGATTCTTCTAACTGATGCAAGATTTCAGCTTATTCGTAAGGTTTTGTTCTGAACAGTTATGGTTATGATAGTAGTGCGGGGTGGGGTGGGTGTGTATGTACTTAAGTTGAAAGAGAAGCTACGAAGGGACTAAGATGGTTACACTGACTAGTGGTCCTCGCTTGCTGTTGTTAGGTGCCGTAGAGTCTGTGACTCGTAGAGACCCTGTAAACAACAGATAGCACCTGCCCTGTCCTGTGCCATCCTCATCATCTCTGATGTACTCGAGCCCACTCACCACTTAGAAAGTCTAATTTCACAAACCTTGCTTTGTGGTACCGAAACATCCAGTTTTGACTCTTATTTATCATATCTATTTATGTAAACTTTAAAATTTATTGTGTTGAGGCACTTTATTGTCTTTTCAGTTCATTTGGTCTCCAGAATGGGTTCTTTTTTAGAAATAAAATTAGGAGACTATAAATAATAACATGAAGCTGTCTCAAAAATCCTTCCAACTTTTGCTTTATTCCCTTGTAGTCACTAGAGGGTAGAAGAACATCATTTCTTACACAGAAGGGAGCCTGGCTTCTGGCTCTCCCATATTAAGAGTTTCTGTAACCACCCCACCCACAGCAGTAAACTTTCCCAGAATGCTCTGGTAAAACCTGACAAAGCAGTATTTTCTCGTTTATTGATTCTGCCGCTGCACTAAAACCCTGGGACTGTACATCAATAACCATCTTTAGTTAGGGAGCTTTGGTCTGTGGAACAGCATTGGCAGTTTGTGGAAGCACATAAAGGCTAGAAAGAAAAATTGTGAGCTTGGGGAATATTGGCGTCGAGGGAGGACAAGAGAGGTTATAGAAAAATGACCAAAGGAATGAAAAGGGATAGGAAAAATGTTGTGGCTTGGATAAAGATATCAAGATACAAAGAATAAAAAAAAAAATTTAAAAAGTGAACAGAGGGTCCTCCAGAGTAGTGTGGGAGATACACACACACATTTTATATATAAGATAAAATCCAAGCTTGGCTTAGCACTGAGTGGTTGTCTTTCTCTTCCCCAGTCATGCACTTGTGATAGTTCCTAGAATTTTTACTTCAATGTGCTGCACTCAGGGACTTTAATATATGCCTAAGTTTAGTACATTTCACAAAACTTTAGCTAAGTAGATAGAGTTCATGGAAATTTGTTCATGGCTTTAATTGGAAATTAAATGCACACATAAATGGATAATTTCACATTGACTTTTGTCATTTTTAGAGAGCAAAGTGAAAAAACATCCAATTCGATTTATAAATATGATTGCAGGGTAAATCTATACAGATGATGATTAAAAGCCTTTTAGGTGTTAAAATACTCTGACCAAAATATCTTTTGGTATTATTAAAATATAAGCGTCTCTTTTTGTGACTTCCACATTCTCTATTTTTAAAAACTTTTTAGAAGAAATTAAACATAAAGCTTATGTTCCTCAGTGTATCCAGAATTTCATCAGTCTTGTGCCCTTATCACCTGTAATATACCATTAACTTTTTCACCTCAATTTTATTCTTATAACAATAAAATAAATGTATTTTTATAATTGTTTCTAAAATCTGCAAGTTTGTGATTTGCATCTTCTAGAGGGGTTTTGAATAGCAGAGAATTTGTGGTCTCTTTTTTTTCCCCTTATAATTTTTTATGAATCTACACAATAAAACATATAAGAATTCAACAGCTTCTATGCTTATCATTTAGTAACATTAATTGTGTTTTTTTGAATTATACAGCTATTCTCATCCTTTTCTTTTTAAAAAATTTTCTACTAGTTTATTTACAAAATTAGAATACATTGTTTTCAAGAACAAATTGTTTCAATTACCCTCACCTCTCCCATCAAATTGTACAACCTGACGATTAAATGCCCCCTCCCCCTGCACATCCTCCTCCCTCAGCTTCCAGCCTCTCCCAACCCTCTTGGGTCCTCACTCTGCATTCATGGTTTTATACAATCAATATGGGACTGAGTTAGTTCACTCAGCATAATGTTCTCCAGTCCATCCCAAGTTAGGTAGAAATTTACAAAGTCATTGCTCCTGCGTGCTGCATAGTATTCCATTGTGTGAATGTACCATAATTTCTCAATCCATTCGTTTGTGGTGGGATATTTGGGCTGTTTCCATGTTCTTGCAGTGGTGAACAATGCTGCTATGAACATTGGTGTACAAATCTCAGTTTGTGCCTCAGTTCTCATATTCTCAGGGTATATTCCAAGTAGTGGAATAGCTGGGTCATATGGAATTTATATGTTCAACTTTTTGAGGAAGTGCCAAACTATCATCCAGAATGGTTGTTCCATTTTACAATCCCTGTAGACTCTTTTTTTTTTTTAAAAATAAGCTCTTCCCCAACTAAGTTCATTTTGTATTTTAATACATAGAGAATGCCTTTCAAATTAGGATTCGCTTCTTATCAAAGCCTCTGTTTACATTACGACGAACATCTTTCAATGAGAATTGAGGATATGATTTACTAGGTCTGAGCTAAGCTATCTAGTTCTCACAGTATAGTTACAGTACATAGCTTTCCATGGGAACAGATTTGTTTCCCATTCCTTACTCTTGTTTTATTTTATTATTACATCAAGTCAGGAACGAAGCACAGCTGGCCCTCCAATAGATTTTCAGAGGCTGTGAGTCGTGCAGGAGGAGATTGCCCATCTTTTTCCTGCAGTGCAGCTGGTGGATTTGAACCACATGCCATTGGGTTTGCAGTGCAGCTTCTTACCACTAGGTCACCAGAGCTCCCTTATAGAAACAGAAAATTAATAGTAGTTTCCACTCTTGATGGTGTGCTGCTTAAACACTTACCAGACAAATATATACGGCTGGAGGTTTGAACCCACTCTGTAGGAGAAAATGACAGCAACCTGCTTCCATGAAGAGCAGAGCCCTGGAAACCCCATGAAGTCCTCCTCAGCTCTGCAGGTCACTGAAAGTCCCCATAGGCTGCAAATAGTGCCACCTTATAAACCGGTATAGGATAACTTCACTTTTTCTTCTGTGAGATTGTTATGAGTCAGAATAGAATTGATAACATTTTTTTCTTTTCTCATATTTAATAGTATAATGAGTTGTTGTTGTTATGTGCCGACGAGTTGCTTGCGACTCGTGGCGACCCTATGTACAACAGCCCTAAACTCCGCTCTGTCCTGTGCCAATCGCACTGTCTCTGACACTCCCATCCCAATTATCCCAGTCACTGAATCAATCCACCTCATAGAGGGCCTTCCTCTCCTGCGCTGTCCCTCCACCCTCCCAAGCATGATGTCCCTCTCTAAGGACCGGTCTCTCCTCACAACATGTCCAAAGTATGTTAGACGGAGCCTCAGAATCCTTGCCTCCAAGGAGCCACCCGGTTTAACCCTTTCCAGGACAAATCTGTTTGTTTTCCTAGCAGTCCATGGTATTCTCAATACTCTTCTCCAGCACCACAGCTCAAAGGCATCAATTCTCCTTCTGTCCTCCTTGGTCATGGCCTGTATCAGATGCACCTTAGTATCCAGAGAGACACCATTGCTCTTCAGTACTTTGGAGAGGTCCCTAACAGCAGACCTTCCCATGGCAATGCGTCTTTTAATTTCCTGGCTGCTGGTGCCAAGACTGTTGACTATGGAGCCAAGCAAACTAAAGCTGTGTACAATCTCAATCTCTTCACCATCCATCCTGATGCTGCCAATTGGTCCAGTGGTGAGAATCTTTGTCTTCTTGACATTGAGCCTCAATCCATATTGTAGTCTTCAGTTCTTGACACTCTGCAGCAGGTGCTTCAGGTCCTCTTCAGTTTTAGCAAGCAGGGTTGTGTCATCCGCATAACGCAGGTTGTTGATAAATCGTCCACCCATCTTGACCCCACATTTCTCCTCATAGAGCCCAGCCTCCCGGATAATCTGTTCTGCATATAGTTTGAAAAGGTATGGAGATAGGATGCATCCCTGGCATACGCCCTTCCCAATTTTGAACCATGTAGTGTTCCCTTGCTCTGTTCTGACGACTGCCTCCTGGTCCAAGTATAAGTTTCGCATTAGAACGATCAAGTGTTCTGGGATTCCCATTCTTCTCAGAGTCAGCCATAGTTTATTATGATCCACACAGTCAAATGCCTTTGCATAGTCAATGAAACACAGATAGACATTCTTCTGGTATTCCCTGCTTTCAGCCAAGA